CTCACCTTCAGATAAAACAAAAATGCAAGCGCAGTCAATGATTTAGATTTTCAAGATCTTCAAAGGTTTAGTCATAAGAGAAGTACTTCAAAGGTCTCTTACATTTCAAGTAACAAGCACTATGAAAAGTGTAATTACTGGATAAAGATAAGATCATAAGAACATAAAGTATATAGAGGGACAACAAAAAGATAATGAAATCCAAAAAAAAACCACTTTCATTAATAAGAACACCCAGCGTATAATGTTACAGTGACAATCCTCTCCCTACCAAAAATGGTCAAGAAAACCTATGCCATCCTTGACAAATCAAGGAATGCATCATGAAATATACAAAATTCCACGCCTATAGAAAGCAAGGTATGCTGAGGTGAAAACAAACCATGTAAAGGAAACCCACCAAGCTAAAAAGAGGGCAACCTCTTTAACAAATACTGAGCATGGGAGCAAACCACACACCACTTGAAAGTTCTCAAATAACCCTTCATCAACCTGAGACAATCCCAACGATAGAAGCATTAATGCAGCGGGTGCAAAAAATTGTAGAACCGCAAGGCACAAGAAGTGATTGTGCAGGAAAACCTTCGCCCTACTGTATTCCATATCAGGAACTACACTCGCATGCAGCCTCTGGTACCACGATAACACAGCCTCATTCAAGTACGTTTGCAGATTCCAACGCAATGCAATAACCTGTAACACCCCCGACAGCAACAAGCACAACAGCCTAAACTTAGCAAAATCAGCTTCAGCCATACCCACATTGCCAACCAATCTTCCACTATTGTTACTTCCAAATTGTGATCCTTTACCATCACCAATGTTCTTGTTGACAAGAATTTCGGCAAATGGGTTGATCCAAAGCAAAGCAGTGAATCCCAACAACACATAATTTGCATAGAAAAGAACTTGTGCAAACCATCCACATGAAGTTATAGACAAATTACACCTTATTTGATCCGTTCCAAGCCAAAAGGCTCGAGCATTCTTACCAGCTCCCAGGTACAAAAACCCGGCGATAAAACCCGAAAGAAGCGCCACAAACAACTTCCCAAATCCATCAATTGAGCTAAATTCAAAGTCAATTACCCAAGGATACATTCCCACACAGATCATCAGAGCTACAAAAAACCCCAATACTCCGATTACCAACCCTAACCCCCTTTCAGACCTCCTAGATGAAGATCTTTCCAGGGAAACACGATAAAGCGAAATCAAAACTCTAAAAATCCCTAAAACCCCAATTAAGATTGGAACTAAAGATCCACTTTTCAAAACCCCAGAATTTCCATTACTATCATCAACATTAACATCATCATTACCCACATTCAAAATCAAATACTTGTGCAACAAAAAGCAAGAAAATGCAGCAAAAAAGCAATTAAAACAACTTCTATAACTATCATAATAAAGACGAGAACAAATTTGGGCATCACCTAATCTCAATCGAAAGATCTGAGCTTTACTCTCATCAAACTCGAATTTCTCCTTGGGTTTCTTCCTGTTCCTGAGATCAGACGAAGTTCTTGAGGAAAGAGATTGAAACCCATTAAGATTTTGATCCGAAGGTCTTCTAATAGCGACTTTTGGACCTGATGATTGAGTTGGTTTATTGGGGTTAACATCATCTGGGTGAATGTAAGTGTTGAGACCTTGAAGTAAGAGTGATGGGAGAGGGATGAAGTAGAGGAGGAGAGAGATTGAAAGGGAGAGAATGATTTGAAAGATCAAGTTTTTGTATGAGATTAGAATTGTATACATTTCTCAGTGTTTGTTGCTTGGATTTTGGAATTGATTGCCAAATAAAATGGGAGGGAGTGAGAATGGATGAAGAATTCTCAAGTTAAGAGTTGAGACTTTTTGGTCACTGTTTGTGTCATTGTGGAGAGATGTTGGCGACTTGGGTCGGGAGACTCGGGACCAAGCAGCTATGTGGATGTCTTTCCCCTCTTGGGTCCGTCTAGTCGGATGATTTCGAGTTCGAGTTACTTTTGTGTCTATACAACTTTACAATATATTTCCTTTAATTCTATTTATTTTATACATGGAATACTTTTTATTTTCGTGCACAAGATTTCTTTTAAATAGTGTATGAAGATAATTTTTCTAATTTGGATTAAAAAAACTTGTGTTTAGGGGTTGGTAATTATATCTGATTCCATCTGCATAATCAATATAAATCAATTATCTTTAGGGTTATGTCCCATAGAGAATAAAGTATAGTTTATGCGCTTGTAAAGAGTAATAAAATTGTACATCTAGAATGTAACTTGAGATATTTATAGAATACCGAGAAGTACGTACCACCTAAGGGTGGCTTTGATGCTTGTCAAGTGGATGAAAGTGATAGTCTACAGGGATAAAAGTGTTGTCCATGTGTCAAGGCATATGGCCAAGTAAAAATATGGGATCATATACATTATATGCTAATAGTGTTATTCAATTCTTTACTCACTTTTAAAATACAAAGTTAATGTGATGTCTTTGAGGGTCTGTTATGTTCAGCTTAATTTCAGTTCATTTCAGTTTAGCTCCAATCAGTTTAGTTCAGTTCCTAATTTCCTTCCATCATAAATAATTCATTACAATTTTATTCAGTTCATCCCCAATCAGTTCATTTCAGTTCAGTTGTTTTTAGTAAATCGAAACAGACCCTGACTTATAACCTGAATACGGATAGCCTACATGGTAATGCACGGCTGCGGCGGGTGGCTACTAGATAGATGATGATGTAGAACTTTTAGATGAGTATGACCGTGTGTATATATATATATTAGATGAGTATGACCGTGTGTGTGTATATATATATATATATATATATAATATACCTGTCCCGCCCATTTGCTTTCTATATATATATATATAATATACCTGTCCCGCCCATTTGCCTTCTATAAGCCGCTACTTCCAAGCCCCAATCAGGGCAACAAACCACGCATCATCCCATTTGTATATGTAACAGATTGAATATATTTTGCAATGGTCTTTATTACTCCCTCCGTTTTGCATTAGTTGCAACACTACTATATTTGGAAAGGATTCACCATTATCAATCATCAATAACTATATACTAAAAGACACACCAACAATGACACGTGTCGATTTCTGGTGTATTCTTAGTGTATTTTTTTTTTAATAATTAATTACTAAATTTTATTTAAGGAAGTTATTTTTTTAAAAAAAAAAGTTTGTTTTTGTCACCTATATAAATGTGCAATAATATTTACCATTTTTATGTTGATACTCAATTAATTACATAATAATAAGGAAATATATAATTTTTTCAAGAAGATGTATTTTTGGTGGAATATTTTTTAAGAATATTATCTTGATCAAATATTCCATGTTACTTCAATTTTGTTCAAGATATTAAACAATTTTTATATTTTATGCTATAAATAAATTAATTTGTCAAAAGTAATTAAAATAACGTACCGTGCATGACACGGGACCTTACCTAGTTATTTTATAATTTCTCTCACCCACTAACCCCACTTTCACAAATATTTTATTATTTCTTTTTCCTACCAACCTCACCCACACTACATTTCTTATTATTTCTATCTCTTACTAATAATACTTTATATTATAAGGCTATAAGCCTAGTCTATAATTTTCTTAAAATATGAGTCAAGCTTACTGTTGCAACTAATGCGAAACGGAGGGAGTACAATTCCTGTTTTTGCCATCCTTGAACTCAACGTCCAAAACACTCACGCTTAATTGCGTACAGTAGTTGCATCTTGCATGTCAACGAAATTTAAGTACTTGGACTGGATAAAGGGAGAGGATTCCGTAGACTGGTAAATTTATTAAAGTCCCAATATTTGATGTAAAATTCTATACCATTGACAAGCAACCTGGAAAAGAACAAGAGGGAGCCATGAAACTGCAATGAAATTTCTAAAAAATTTAAATTTAATGAGTAAAACTTTCCTAACAAGAAGTTTCGCTTAGTGTTGTTTTTACTATTCTAATAGCTATATTGTTTACTTTGTTTCCGTCTAGCTACAGGATGAAGGACCAAAAATATGAAACTTTCTACAGTTTAAAATTATACATTGGCCTAAGAAATGTACATGAATTTCAAAACTTAACTTATTGGCTCAAACTCATCTTATAACTTTAATGTTTATAAAAGATATTAAAAGTGTCTCCAATTAAAAAATAATAATAAACGTTGTAATAAGGTGTTATAAGCCGTTAGTCTAATTTGCCAAGGAGGTTGTGTGGAGATTATCAATTCATTGCCATAAAGGATTGAACTTAAAAATCAACATGGTGCATTTATGTAAACGTATAAGTACTCTATATTCTTAAATTCTTAATAGATGATCATGTATCTCAAATTAAATAATTAAACATTGACACATTTTGATCGTTAAATACGTATGTATTTTTATACCCAAATAACTCTAACTCATTCTCATTTGAACTTATTTTAATCAAACTAAAAGTGAAATAGTAATACTACATCAGTTGAGAATGAAGAGCTACGATTGATCAAGGGATGAATTATGCATGATGAGGATAACTCTAGTCTAAAAATTAAAAGTATCACCACACCTTTTTTAAATATGGATGATGGATCATTTTATTTTGGTGAGTATAGGCCCAATGACAAAATGGAGAAATACAATCCATTAAGATATTCAATGAAATTAAAATCAATATAGATATTTTATATGATTTTTTCTCATTAAATTCACATCAATTTTATGTCATATCATATGATCCAAGATTTTTTGTTACAATCAGAGAAAAAAACAAATAAAAAGTCATTTTTGTTGCTGCCATATAGATCAGGACATATCACAAGTCACAAGAGTATATAACTACAATTTCTAGCACATTCTCTTTAATCCCATCCACAACACCGAGTGTTCACGTACGATCGAATAATTTAATAGTAACAATTTAATCTTATAACATCAAATACGTTCAATATTCACTTATGTAAGGCATTTTCTTACCTTCCTACCGATTTTTTAAGATGTTTTCATAACTTGAATTAAATTGACTCATGAGAGATTTCAATCTAGTAAAACGCCCTGACTTACCTACCAAAAATATCCATAATATACTCTACATAGTACTGTACCCGTATAGAATTAAATTATTCTTGTAAAAAAAAATTATTAAATGCAAATATAATTCTCTTACAAGAATCTTTCTTCTAGAAAATTAAAATATCTTATTTGTGGGCTCCCCAAAACTATCGCCCCATTAATAGACTACCACGTACACACTAAAATAGAACATTTAAGAAACCTCCCACTAAATTAAAAATAAAAAAGAAAGAAAAATAAAATCAACGGAAGTTTCTCGAAAGCAATAACGTAGCTTCTCCTCCTTTCCTTCCTAACCAATATCTTCCTATCTTCTCCCTTTTTTTCCATTTTCTCTCTCCTCTACTCTCTTTCAGACATTTTCCAGATCTTCTTCTTTTTCCTTCACTCTTCTTTTTCACGCCCAAATCTCGTATATTCTTCAATTATTCACACCTTTAATTGATAATATTTACGTAATTTATTGAAAAAGGAAACAAAAATTTAGATTGTTGTTGATCTGAAGAGAAGTGGTTTTCCGGCGATGATTCCGCCGGCGGGAGATGAACATGTCGGCGTCTGCGGCGGTGGAAGTGGAGGAGATTCTCAACGGTCAATTCCGACGCCATTTTTGACGAAAACTTATCAACTTGTTGAAGATCCTTCCATTGATGACGTCGTTTCATGGAATGATGACGGATCTAGCTTCGTCGTCTGGAATCCTACCGTTTTCGCTCGCGATTTACTTCCTCGCTATTTCAAGCATAACAATTTCTCATCCTTCGTTCGTCAGCTCAATACCTACGTAAGTAAAGCATTATTCATCATATTCATCAATCAATTCAATCTTATTATGATTTTCGGATAATATTCAAATTCAAATGCTGAATTTCGATTTTGCGCGATTTTTTAGGGATTTCGAAAAGTAGTTCCAGACCGATGGGAGTTCTCAAACGAATCGTTTCGAAGAGGTTCGAAACACCTACTATGCGACATCCAACGCCGGAAAACAACGGCGGTGGTAACGGTGGCGCAACGGCAAGTATCACCGGGACATTCCGGCGAAGAACAGGTGATATCGAATTCTCCGCCATTAGGAATTCCAAGCTCAGTTTATTGCAACAATACAAGCACCAACCATAACAACAACAATTGTAGCAGTAGTAGCAACAGCAGAGTAGAATTAATAGACGAAAATGAGAGATTAAGGCGAGAAAATCTGGAATTAAACAAGGAATTAGCAAACATGAAGACGTTATGCAACAATATATTTTCATTGATGAACAATTTTGCAACGACTCAAGGGAATTCTTCAGCGACAAGTAGTAGCACGAATTGCATGAAACAGGCGTTGGATTTGCTGCCACGTAAGGAGTTGGAGGGGGTTAGAAATTCCCATGACAGTGACAGACCTAAGATATTTGGTGTACCAATTGGAATGAAACGAGGGAGAGAAGAAGAAGGTGATGAAGATGGTGGGGAAGGGGAGGGTGTGGTGCACGTGCAGGGTGATATGATGGAGACTGATATTCAGATTAAATGTGAGCCGCTGGATGAGAATGGTGTGATTGATAATCAGGAAACTCCTTGGCTTAAACAGTGTCACCGACATAATCAGAGGGTTTGTAATTGATTATCGTGGTATTAATTAGAGTTAGGGATTTTGTATGGGATTTGCACGTGATGGAAATTTGTGTCACGTGATTTTATCAAGAAGGTTCTTTGGTTTACTATTTTGCCCTTGGTTTGTAGATGGGTGAGACCGTCAGATAGCTAAATTTGGTGGTGGGCGGTGGTGATCTGTTAGGCTTTTAGCTGAATTTGTAGAAAAAGTTTAAACTTTTTTATTAAAAAGAAATAATGAAAAGTTTAAATTTAATTTATGGCTTTGATTTTGCTTACTTTACTATGGACTTATGGAGTACTACTCGTCTGTTAGTTCCAAAATGAGGCATATTTTTGGGTCAAACTATGACCATATATTTATACTCCGTTGATGTATTTATGTATAAGGAAGAACATAGATTATAGGAGTACATAATCTTGTTGAATTCATTTTAATTTTGCGTAAACAAAGATAAAAGATGTCAACATCGTGTAAGGGGCGGAAGGATTAGCTTGTATCTTTATGTGTTTCATTCAAGATTTATAATGCACCCATTAGAAAAAGTGATAAATGTGGATTGTGAACGTAAGACTAATTTTTCGCCAACAAGAAATGGGATATTGAGCAAAAATGTCACAAATTTATTGATATTTATTGAAACAGGTATAGATTTAGTTTTTCACTAGATTTAAACTCGTGCGATGCACGATTTTATTCATAGTTAAATTTAATATTTAATATTTAATCGAAATAATAAAATATTAATACATAATATTACTATTTTTTAATCTTATACAATTAAGGTTCACACATATACAAACAAATATTAAATTTTTCAAGCTTCCATCATCCTTTGTAAATCAATCGTTGATCGTGCCATTTGATAAGTTGTGTAATTAAACTCAACCCCTTGAATTGCAAAATTAACACTTGTGAGTTATGACTAACTTCTTAATTATGATCACTGTTCATCGCATTCGAGAATTTCATGGTGTTCAAATTCTAAAACATGTTCTTTGCCTGTATAAGTTTTACGTTTATTTGTATGCAACATTAGATTATATAGGATTAAAAAAATACTGGATTTAAAGTGGCGATAAAGTTTATTAGATATAATAAATTTTATTAATGTAGAACTTAATCTTTTAGTCGAATAAATGATAAATGATAAATGATAAACCATTTTTTTTGCTGGAAAAAGAGAAAGGATATATTTTTAGTTTCAATGATTTTTTTCTTATTTTTTATAACTGAACGTGATTTCATATTTTTTTTATTAGTATTTTTTGAAAAAAAATATTTTATTATAATCACTTCTCATTTCATTACTTTTTTCAACTAATCAATTTTTTTAAAAAAATCAATTGAACGTTATTTCATTTTTTAAGTTTAATAGTATTTTCGTATATATACGAAATAAAATAAATTGTTTCTTTTCTCTTAGATAAAATTTTTAATTTTAAAAGATAATATTTTATTTTTATAATAAATTTAAACCTTTAATTTTAGTCCTACGTGGCGCTTTAAATAATAATCTCGTGGCATAATTCTATACATAACGCTCTAAAAATACTAATCCTACCTATCATGGCGCTCCAATAATTTTTAAAAATTTAAAATCCTACGTGGCTCTATAAAATCTTGGGAAAAAACTCCCCTTTATATATATATATATATATATATATATATATATATATATATATATATATATTTAAAAATTTAAAATCCTACGTGGCTCTTTAAAACCTTGGGAAACAACTCCCCTTGGGCGATGCCCGACTTGATGAAGTTTTAGGATAAACTTTTTAGGTTGAAGGTTAAATACGATCATATAATCCCTTTTGATAATGCAATATATTTAGACATACGATATCACATCGTTTATTTATATAATAGTGTACTCTTAGTAGTTTTGTTTGTACATATATATACATCTATGATGTTATTAATTTGAAATTATTTTTATCGAACTTAAAATTATTTTTATAGAACTAATGTTTTTTTTTTTGACATTGACTAAAATTATTTTTACTGATTATTAAAACTTATTTTTAGCCTATTCTCTATTATTTTATAAATAAATTAAATATATTATAAATGAATCTTATTTTAAAGAATTTTAAAAACGAATTTGATGGAAATAGAACCGAGTTATAAGATATTTATTAAAAGTTAGGATTAATTTTGTATATATGAAATATTAGAAGTATATCGATAATAAAACTCTATATAACATTTTTATCTTATTAAAATCTATCCAAAATTCGCTTACTTTGCATCAAATGTGTCACAATAATACATATTTTCAGCTTTATTTATTAGTGATATAATATTAGATTGGGTTGAAAAATACTTGAAACATTTGGTAAAGGCCTTAAATTGGTCAAGGATTTCACATTTACCCTTTAATGCATTCTATTCCTGATTTTCCGTTAATACCATTGGAGGTTGGTTAAGGTGTCGGTGAGGTTCCGATTTTCCAACAAAACAAGAAGCCAAGGCTATTCTTAACGCCACGTCGAAAGGAAATTCGCTAATAATCGCGTTCCCGACGGTAAAGGTGAAGTTGAGGCTAGGGTTTTCTCCCTTCCAAGGTTGGGTTTCGGTGAGGGGTCTTCTTGCGTTGGTCTTTGAAGGCTGTTGTTTGGGTTAAGTTTCGATTCCGACGGTAAGGTAGTTCTTTATGGTACTCTTCTTCTAGTGAGTCTCAATTTCTCTTTGTTAGAGTTTGCAATTTAGTTTAGTTTTTGATTTGGTTTGGTAGTTATGTTTAGCTTATCTAGCTTGCTCTTTTTAGTGTCTAGTTTTATCTTTTTAAATATAGTTGTTTTTTTTTAGCTCTGGTTTCTGTCTTGGAGTGGGGTTCCTTATGGTTGTTCTAATTAAAGGAATTTTGTCTTTGGGGTCACGCTGGGAAATTTTGCTCTTGGATTTAGAGGTTACAAGGTTAGGTAAACCTTGCTTGTTGATTTGTTGGTTCTGTTCGTTGCCTTTTTGAGGTGTTACTTTGTTTACCTGGGAATTATAGGAATTTTGGTTTGTTATATCTTCCAGGAGATGGTTTCGTTTGTGCAGGAGGAACAAGGTTTACCTTGCATTTGGAGTATGCAAGAGGAAGGTGTTGGTGTTAGTGTTGTTGAGGGAAAAGGTGGGTTCGCTTATCCTGTTGTGTCTTGGTTGTGGGATGATAAGAGTGTTCTTCTGGTTACTATCATCCCTTTGTTAGTGTTTGTGATGACAAAGCTAGTCATCGCTGTTAATCCACATCTTGAAGGAGGCTTTCCAACTTAAATGTTTGGGGTAAGCAAAGTCCTCCATTTTTTTGCACTCTCTGTTAGTAGAGTTGCAGGAAGGGAACCTGCATTTTCATGCAAGGTTTCCCATGATAGAGTCATTAAAAAATATGACTCTTATGGTTGTCTTCCCAGACTCATAGAAAGTAGTTATTCTTTGCATTCCCTGGGAGTGAAGTAGTGTCAAGGGTTCTTGTTTCTTCAACAGGAGGTATTCATGTTTCGGTTGGTTCTGCTCTCAGCAGCTTCTACTTCAAATTTGCTTTTATATTTTGGCAAGTTTCAGTTCTCCTCACTGCGTTCAAGCTACAATCTCTATACATCTCGAGTTATTTGGTTAGTTTGGCAATGCTCGGGCCACATTACAGATTCAGTAAATTTTTGTTGATTTTCTTAGCTCCGAAGTCAATGGTGTTTTATAAATGGCGGTCATCACAGGTGGTTATGCTATGGTAGTCATCATTGGTGTTATGCTATGATCCATAAGGATTTCCATTCCTGTTTGCATGTTTGGTTTGATATGTTGTGTTGTAATTTTCTTAGTTTTTTTTTGTTCTTCTGAAGTTGTAATACTTTTTTCGTTAATAGAATCTTTTGTAAAAAAAATAAATAAATAAAATTATACGAATGATACATTAATACATTTTATTCCAAAATGCACGTGGCGGGTGGAGTTTGGTTGACGTCAAGGTCGTCAGCTCTGTTATTATGGCTAACTTCAAATTGTCACAATTGCCTATAGATATATATAGACATGGAAAATGATAAATAAAACCAACAACTACTTCATCCATAACGATCGCAACCATTGGGGATCTAGGGTACAAAGAGGTACAATCATACATTCATATCCCCATTCCGCCAAAAAATATGATAATAAGGAGACCGTTGTAATTAATACCTGGTCTCTTAGGTACTGTTAGTAGATTGGAGAAGCCACGAACCAATCCGATTTTTTATGTGTTAAATTCAAAGATACCGTTATTTAAAACTAGTCTCTTAAATTCGTTTGGCGTTGCTATGGTTTTTTGTTTTTAAAAATTATATGATATATGTCATATAATGAATAAAAAATCAGTCAAATTTATTAAAATTATGATAATTTTGAAAACTGACAACAAAAATTGGAAACACCCTTTTCTTGTTTTCTATTTTTGGTTTTTTGTTTTTAAAAAAACAAAAAGTCAAAAACAAAAAATGATGTCAAACAAGCGAGGCGTTATTTATAAGTTTTTCTATTACTTTTCAATCGAGACATGTTTCCACAAAATACTGATCTCTTAGGTAGTCTCATAATCACAAAAAATGGGCCCAACTAGTAGTGGGCATACGAAGATATATCGGCCCGTCCACAATATGAAAAATGGGCCAGTATATGCAATTATTTTAAATTAATGCTTTAGGCATTGGTTTTTGTTAGACCTGACAATCGTGTTGTGCCGTGTTGTATTCGTTTTTGTGTCGGAAATTAAACGGATTAGTGAAGGTCAACACTAACCCGACCTATTTAATAAACGTATCGTGTCGTGTTGATTCAATTAATTACCGTGTCGAAAACCCTTAACATTAACCTGCTTTTTTCGTGTCGTGTTGAATTGAAAAATATTGGTCTAGTTCAATAGATTTATGAATAATTCCATAAATTATCGGGTTTTTATTTGAGTCGTGTTGTTTAAACGTGTTGAGAATCTCAACACTAACCCAACCTGTTTAATTAAACGTGTTGAAAATCTTTGACACTAACCTGTTTTTTTCGTATTCGATTTGTGTCATGTTAGCTTTTATCAGCTCTAGTTTTTGTTATGTTCTTCAAAGGGTGTTTGACTGTTTGTGCTTGTGACTGCCTATTCACCAAGTGGGCCTCAGCCCTTTTGGTTTGGAAAAATCCATTTTTCAGTACACCCACAAAATAATTTTTCCTTGTCCGATTGTTGCTTCATTAACAATGTTTTTTTTAAGCAGCTTGTTTTGTGTGTGGTTGGATGACCAGTTGATCATTTATATAAGAACAAAGTAGCATCTATA